GGTAGGCCAGGCTCACTTTATGCTGCGTTTCCATTACAGTTTAGGAACTGGGGTAGTAACTATAGTAACGCAGTGTAGGCGGAGCTGTGACGTCATCATCAATGCAAACCACAAAACCAACATCAGCCGTTAGCTGTTAGCCCTCAGAGCTCACAGCTCCTCATATCTGTTCAGAAACTAGACACAAGTTAAACAAGTACAAACCACAGACTGTCTGTGTCATGGAGAATACAGTCGCTGCTTTATTTATGTCTGTAGGCCGTTGTTGTGAGTGTGGACGGTCGGAGCATATACTGCGTTAGCTTAGCCGATCTCCATTCAGAAAACACGCATTTTAAAAGGTTTTTCGCCTGCCGTCTGTCTGCAGACTTGTCAAAGCATTAATTCATGGTTTTTACTAACCGGTATCAGTATGTTGTTACTTCGGCATCATTTTGAAACGTGTGCTACAATTAAATCATGGTAAAATATGTTCATTTTGTTGTAGTTGCCAGCGATTCTCTCACTAGTTTAGCATACCCAGCCCGGTTGTTGGCCCGGAAAGAACCTCAATTTTGGAGAGCCAGAAAACTGTGATAAAGTACCCGCTAACCGGAACTACGCTTAGTGGAAACGCAACCAAAAACGGGCCGGGCACGGCACGCTTAAACCACGCTGTAGTGGAAATGCGCCATAATAGGCTCTCTGCTATTATTTACTGGGAGACTTGGCCAGGCATTGAAAAAATCTCCAAAGCGAGAGTTAGAAATCAAGCCTTAACTTCAGCAAATACAAACACTTGGGAGGGCTGGATTTCATTTAAAGGGGCCCTTCTATGCTCATTTTCAGGTTCATATTTGTATGTAGTGTCTCTACTGGGACATGTCTCCATGCTTTAATGTTGGAAAAGCTCTTTATTTTTCTCATACTGCCTGTGCTGCAGCACCTCTTTTCACCCTCTGTCTGAAACCAGAGCCCAGTCTGCTCTGATTGGTTAGCTGGCCGGCTCTGTTGTGATTGGTCAACCGCTTAGAGATGTCCCGCCCCTTAGCCTATCACGTACAATGTGTTGGAGCGCTAGCCATTAGAAGCACAAGTGTTAAATAGTGATGTCACTATGTTCCTGAAGGGCAGGGGATCATTTGTTCAAAATCTGTGTGTTTAGACTGCATGTCTGTAGGAGAACTTTAGTGCTAAATGACTGTGTTTGCACATGCAAGAGGCAAACATTACTGATGAAGAACAATTCAGGAAGCTGCTGTGGTTTTGTTGCGTGCTCATGTAGGGTTCAATCACTATTATTGCAGCTTATTTTGATCATCTGTCCCATCTAATCAAACACATATTTATTTTGTTGTATGTTTGTATTGATTAAAGTCCTGTCTTGAACTTTATTGCATCTCTGCTTATTGCATTTCATTTGTCTGCGTGACAATGTTTGGACCGCTGCACAAACAGACTGTTTCATGGAAAGACTCATCAGATGGGAATCCAAATCAATTTGTCAGCTCATGTTTGACCGACTCATTACTGGCGGTTCGATTAAAAAGCGTAGTGGAGCTCAGGTGACTGACAAGGCAGCTGAAACCATTATGCAGAAATGTGGGATCGAATCCCAGCCTTGGATGGCCGTTCCCGTCCGGAGGCCTCCTAAAGTCATCCATCATGGGGAAATTTCATTTTGCTCCTTAATGTGGGCTGCAAGGTTTTTTGGAAGCCGCAGAAATGATCAGAATTTGGCCAGATTGGACCGTGCACCGAGCGTGCTCAGTCATTGTTATCATCAACGATTATTGTCTTTTATTGATTTGGCAGGAAGAGAGTGACTGGCCATGTTTGAAATGGAGGCGTGTTCCTGAGATCGGTGCCAACACTGGGCAAGATCAAATACTGAGGCCGGTTTCTTTTGCCAAGGACGGCAATTAAAGCACATTCCACTCCATGCTAGATCCCGGTTTTAAATGTCTCCGATATTTCCTTTTAAACAATTGTGGAAACAGTTTGGATTATTAACATGTGTGTCCACTCAGTCCAGCTCACAGAAGAAATGCATTGTTCAGCTTTGATGAGTGGTCTGATAGATTATCATATTTGTCAAGGAACACATTCCTTTGAAAGCTTGCATTTTATTCCATTTTTGTTCAAACATGCACACATTTTAAACTCAGTATCACAGTCCAGATTTCATAAAAGAATACAAAAAATGTATATGTGTAGTGTTTTAGGTCTCTAAAACCTTCACACCACCATATGCACTGCTGGCTTATTCTTCACCCTATGCACAACATTGAATTCATGAAGATTAAACACTACACACTGGTGCTGTATTTCTGTGAAGGAGCCATCAGGGTCTCCTTTCTGAGATTATCTACTTCTGGAAACTCCCACCATTAATAATTGTCCAAATGATTAATTGCACTCGCTGATGATCACTTACAAAAACAGATCTTCTCGTTTCCAACGGACCATCTCATTGGGCTTGACTGTAATGGTTGGATACTGCCTCTGTCAACACCTTGTAGGTACTCTGAGTGTGTGTGATATCTGAGAATACATACACCAGGGGTGTCAAACTCAAATACACAGTGGGCCAAAATGAAAAAATGGGTACTAGTCGAGGGCCGGACTTGTTCAATGTTTATTCCAAAACGTATTGAAACAAACGTATTGCACATATTAAACCTGGAACTAACAAAGCTTAAATTATTACTTATAAAAACAACATTAAACATTAAATAATCAGTTGCATTCATTTCTTATGGCTCTATCTGCAGCTTTTCCTCAGTCATTTCTTATGATTACATTTTCCCACAGGCCAACAACAGCTTCAAAAAAACTATTTCGCTCAAAGAAAAAACCAATCATGCCCTGTTGTCGTGAGAAAGAAAGTGCAGAAGGAAACATCCATTAAACTCAGTGTGCTGCTCTGTGATGCTAGTTCAAGCAGATACTTGGCATCTCATCTTGGGTGCAAGTTCATCAATGTTTGGGCTCAGGCTCTGAGCTGAGGAGACCCTCAGGATGGAGTGAAGGTGTGTTCGTGCAATATACCGGCGGGCCAGATCTAATAGTAATTAGAAATTATCCTGCGGGCCGAAATTAAATCCACCAAGGGCCTGATTTGGCCCCCGGGCCTTGAGTTTGACACATGTGACATACACGCACCGAATGAGAACATAATCAGAACTAGAGGGAAGTAAATACAAATGTTTGCATATGTTAAGGCAATGATGACATCTTTTTTTGCTATTATATGATTTTTAAAGCATAACGTTACAATTCCTTTCCCACAAATGGATCGATTAAAAGTATTACACATTTGAATCTTTTATATAGTTTATTATGACCTTTCAAACGCAGGTGAGACAAAAGGCTGAGGTTTTTGTAATGGTTTTGGGGGAAACATGTCATTGGAAATAAAACTTTACAGTGATGACATGAGTTGGGATGTGAGCCCAGACTGTCCAGGCACAAGCTGGGTGAAAGTATTTTTTACTTTTCAGCATGCAAGGCGACACATTAGTTGCCTTAAAATACACCAACATTATCTCGCAACATTTTCCTTCCTAGATATTTCTTTGGTTTGATCTTACAGCCATGTTATGCTGAAATGGCTTCCTGAAGACTTTTTATCACTTTTTAAATCTTGTGTGGCAGTTTTTGCATCTGCTCGCTACACACACATTAATGTTCTCAATCTCTTTAGCGTTAAAATGCGGTCGTTAGGACTTTATAGGTTTTCTTGCTCTTCAGCTTTACTTTACGGCTTGAACAGGCGTTTATTAAGATGACAAATGGATCACGGCCACAACCAGCTGTAATTATCACCATTATCATGTTTACATTTCTGCCAGCATTGTGGGCTTCTCGTCAGATCTTCGTCACGGGCCCTTAAGTATTTGATACCCAACATCACGCTGTGTTTATGATACCGCCAAGCCTTTATTACTGTCTCAGCTATCATAACAGTTGGCGGACTTGCTGAGGGCATAAAAAGGCAGGCAGGGCTTTTAGATGCGAGCACATATGCATGATGATAGATGTAATCCTTCTCTCCCCGCCTTGCCCTCTGTTAGCTTTCCCCCTGCACAGCCCTTAATAGCGACGGATCCCCCTTCAAGGCTGTGAACCCATGCTGGGCCCCAGGCTGCCTTCATGCCTGTTGACTTCAGACGCTTCTGATGTCATAACGAAGGGGGCTGGCGCTTTGATATGGCTCCTCGGGAATTTCATGCTCCCTGTGTCTCAAACTGACTAAGACGCCCAGCTGGCAGGTATAGTAGAAATTGGAGTTTTATTGCCTCGGCCCGGGGGGATTACCCGCCACACTGAGGCCGGGATGGGGCAGCCGGGGCGGCGGCGGTGTCAGGACTCCTTCACTCCCTTGAACCTTCGAGCCGCATTTCTCACGCCATCTAATCTGAAAGCACGGCTCAAATCCTGCTAATCTCTTCCAAATACAAAGGGCTTCAGGGTGGTATACCAGTTACTCCTTCAGCGGACATTTCAAATGTGTAATTGAATAATTTTGCCATTTGAAGAAGACATATTTAGAAGTGGTGTCAATCAATTAAAAGATGTAATTGGGTTAATCACAATAACAATCTGTTTTTGTTGTGGGGTTGAAATAAAGAAATGCAGCACGAACTGATCGGAAATCAGAGGGTTTTTAACTTAATCATAACATCACAGCTAGGGCTGCTCGATTATGGCAAAAATCATAATCTCGATTATTTTGATCAATAATTGATATCACGATTATTAAAAACGATTATCCATTTACTTTGAAAACATCAATTTATTGAAAGAAAAATGTGTAGTATGTTTTTAACAGTTGATTACCCTGAACTTTAAGTATAATTCAATTGAAAAACCAATAAAAAAAATAATATATATATTTTTTT